ACTGGTCTTCAAATTCGTTGCCATCTACTCTATCTGATAAAGATAAAAGATACAGCTGGGGAATTTTAATAGTTTTCAAATTTTACTTAAGATTATAAAATATTAGTAAACTAAGCCTTGTGTCTTTCGTGAATTGTTCTGAACCACCTAGAGAGACAGATGGTAGTGTGCAATTTGAAAATGTATGTAAACAAGGGGGCAGATGCGTGGTTTAAATATTTCTATGAAAATATTTGTGTAGAGAGCTTCACCCTTAAAGCTATATTGAAAAAAAAAGGAAATTTGGAATAATAGACTACATACAAAATATTATTGTTGAACTTACCATAGTGAATGATGGGGGGAGTGCGGAGTGGAGATCCAAAGCCCACTAGTAGGCCACTGGAGATCCCCTTGCAGAGGGGTCTCGGGGAGGAGATGAGCCAGTCAGGGTGCAATGTAACAATGATGAGAAATACAACTTTCCTCTAGTTCCTAAATGTTTCCTCCCCGCTCCCACTACCATGACTCAAATTCTATCTTGCAAGTCTGGCTAGACCAGAGGAGGTACACTGGTACAGATAGGAACTGAAAATACAGGGAATCCAGGATGGATGAGCCCTATAGGACCAGTGGTGTGAGTGGCAAAACAGGGAGGGTAAAGGGAGAATGGGTAGGAAAGAGGGAACCGATTACATGGAACTGTGTGTGACCTCCTCCCTGGGGGACAGACAACCGAAAAGTGGATGAAGGGAGACGTCGGACAGGGCAAGATATGACAAAATACCCATTTATAAACTATCAAGGGCTCAAGCGGGAGGGGGGAGCGGGGAGGGAGGGGAAAAATGAGGACCTAATGTCGGGGGTTTAAATGGAGAGAAAATGTTTTGAGAAACGATGTACAAATGCGCTTTACACAATTGATGTGTGTATGGATTGGGATAACAGTTGTATGAGCCCCTAATAAAATGTTAAATAAAAAAAAAAAGATGTAGGATTCATTGAATTTACTGCTTATACTTTTGGAGCTGATAATACAAGAGCAGGCAAAATGTATTGCTAATAGGGTTGTCATGCGTACAAGAACAGTTTACTCCAAGCGTATTTAAACATGCCTCTGTGACCTGTGGTTGACTGCAGACGCGTTCTTTCAGTAATACACTTGTCTTAGTCTTGTTAAACTAAACAAACCTCACTACCATCCAGTGTATTCTGACTCCCAGTCTTGTGAGGGTGCCTACAAAAAAGGTACAATCAAATCCTGCAATATCTGAAGGAATCTGCTGAATCAGTTCCTGTGCCTTTTTCTCAGATTCCAAAGGGGTAATCTTAACAGACACAGGATGGTCATGGTGAGTTATTATGAAGAAGTTTCAAGAAAACTGAAAACAGAAACCATTAGGAAAGTTCTGCTGAGGAACTTTTTTTTTTTATTATGACAGTACAGGGAATTTTTTTCTTTCTTGACAGTGTACCTGCTCATTTGTCGATAGCAGCAAAGGCTGTCCTATGAGATATTGTTGGGAAACCTCATCCGGTCTTTCCTACAACCCACATATTTACACCTTCAGACTTCTTTTTGTTCCCCACACTCAAAGAGCACTTAAAAGGAATACGATGGAAGTCCTTCATGAATGCCAGAAATTCAATGTTTGAAGTGATATAAATCAAAGAGGGAAGAATTCTTTGGGAAAAGGTTTTAAAATATGGAAACACTGCCTTCAGAAGTGTCTAGCTCTATATGGGGGATATGTTGAGAAATGATTGTTTTAAATTTTGATATTTTTGTTTAATAGAGGTTTCAGTGTTTTTGTAGGAATACTTTTCAGTTATCCTTGTAAAAATTAACAAGCCTCAGATCATAATACTTGGCAAGTACTCTTACCTTGTTAATTGCTTGTCTTACTATGAACATATAAACCTTATAAACCTTGTTAATTGCTTGTCTTACTATGAACATATAAACCTTATAAAGAATCAATTTATCTGGATAATTGACATGACTTTCGGAACCATGTATTGACGTCAGAATTTGGTTTCAAGTAACAGAATAGTAGGTACCTAAAAAAAAAAAGTTGTGCTGGTGTTGGGGCACTGGGCTTTCACTCTCCCTCTGGCATTATGTGAATTAATTTCCAGTCAAAGATTCATTTTGGTTAGGGTGTTGGCATCCGAGATGTTAATTAACTGTGACAGGTGTGGGTCAATAATAGAGTGTGGGGCTGGCCTTAGGGGTATCAATTGTGTTACTTCTTAGAGACATTTTATGAAATGCTCTTCTGTAAAAGGGTTGTTAAGTAGCAATGCTCATGGATTAAAATGCTATAAGCTATAGAAAGATTATACCTGAATATGTGGGATGCTGTATTCCTGAGAGAATTAAAGTCATTTCATGGTTAGTCTTTTTAAAATGATGTACCAATATCTAAGTGAATGCAGTGGGACAAAAGACTCTGTGATTTGCTCTAAAAGATAACAGCCTAGAAACCGTGTGGGGCATGTTTGCTCTGTCAGATCAGGTCTCTAGGAATTGGGATTGATTAGATAGCATACAAGTTCTTAAAATCACCCCAAGTGTTATATAGAGTTAAAAAAGGTTATTTCTTTCCCTCTAATGATTTATATTGATAGATGCAAAATGTTTATTGGGTTGCCATCAATATTAAAAGAATTCAAATTGAATATAAATGTTAAGAAATCACACCATATCCTTCATAGTAAATGGAAGGTATGTAGTATGACTTTGCTACTTCAGTTACATATTTAAATACTTCCACAGTTATGCATTTGTCCATGACATAAAATATATCATCCTGTAAGTTATAATCAAAATAACTTTAGTATGTTTACTGTTATTTTTTTCTCTCTCATCACATATCAGAACTGAATTTAATTTATTTACTCATCATCTCCCAGCCTAACATTGGGAACCTCACTCTTAGAATCTCAACAATTGAGAGGGATTAGGGGCGATTAGGTTATTAAATCTGGTAATTAAATTATTTTCTCTTTGAGAAGTTCCTTAAACATGAAATAGATCATTTAGGGTACCATTTTTAGAGTAACTTTCATGATCTTTAATACTTTTATGTGCAGGAACTAACTATGGACTATGACTAAAGAATTGTACTCCACACAATTTTGTGCAGCTCCTTGGGAACAGTCAGTGGTAGTTCTGGTGATTAGAAGTAGTGTAACTTACTGGTAGTAGAGACTACCATTGTACTGACAAAGTCTGTTTTTCTTTTCTTTCCTGGTGGGTCCTGAGAAAGGTGAAGAGATTCTTCCCCTTGTGCTTGACTGGTCTGGCTGCATATAGTGTGGCCATCAGAAGTCACCATTCTGAGATAGCCCTCACTTTTTCTATGTCTTTGGCCTTGAGCTAGAGAGAATACCTGTACAGAATTCTTAGATGGGTGCTGAGCTTAAGCAAAGTAGGTTGGAGCAGAAGAGGGCTTCTGCTGCAAAATGTCTCAATGTAAAATCTATCTCTGGGAAGATAATTCTTTTGGAGACATCTCATTGGAAGGGAAGGAATTATTATTTTATCAGAAGTTTATTTTCTAGACCTAAATATCTGACAAAAATATTTATTTCGTTTGCATCAAGAGGTTCAGATTTATTGCTTCCTTTTTAAAATCATCCATCCATATATTCATTTACTTCTTGTGGCAATCTGTAAATATTTTCTTTAGTGAGTATAGTAAAGGAACTATATGAAAAACTTTTGATTTATAATGGTTTTTTTTTGGACTGTTGCCTTCTATACAAATGTTACCAGTATCCCTCAGATTTCTTTCACATCAAGACTAAATTTTTTCTACTTGATTTTCAAGACATTCACAACCTAGAATTGCCCTACATATACAAAGATCTCTTTCCAGCTTGCTCAAAACATTCTCTTTTTCCATAAGAGGACCCTCCTTTGCTACAGAGTCAATCATGACAAATGTTGTTAGGTTAAAATGCAGCAGCCTATCATTTAATTTCCCTTTTGATTCAGTTAAAAATTGCTTCAATTTTTAATATTTTATGTTTTCTTTTTGAATAAGGTTTTTCTGTGTTTTGTTTAGTCATTGTTGTTGAATTTCATTCGTTTGTTTGTTTCCTGTTTGCATGATTTTCTGTGTACGAAGCCCAGGATTGTGAGATTTTTAGAGATAGTAAACTAGGGGCATGGCAAGGGAGGATGGGATGAAATGGTGAGCGAATGGCAATGAATTTAAGAAGAGAGGTTCTAAAATTGATGGTAGTGATTATTGCCCAAATCTTAGCATAATTGCAGGAATAAATTATGATATAAAAAGTATATGCCAATTAAAATATGATAATGTAAAAATAAAAACAAAACTTTGTTATTTGTTTAGGCAAGCTTATGTTTTTACTTGTCTATAAAATTGCATATTGTATTTTACTCAAAGTTCTAATTCACTGTGAACTATATTGTGAGAGGGATTATGTCTTGCTCAATAATGAATTACCAAAGTTTAGCTTGGAATGCCTGGTTGGTGGCCAGTTAATATTTATTGAGTGAAAGGAAGGAAACAGGTAAGGAGGGAGGAAGAGAACTGCTAAGAGACTGTTGTTTGTTCTCTTTCAAACTTCTGCTCAGACATGCCCCATCTTTTAAGGTCTCTTTTCTCCGTGACACTGCCTCTGATTATTCTGACTTGTCTTCATTGACAGCTGAAACACAGACCTCGAAACTTAATGTTATTTATAAACTTTATTTTCGTGGTTCACTGTTGTTGTAACTTGGTGTAAACTCCTTGAAGAAGGGTCATGTGTATACATTTTGTTTTAGTGTGCATTAATCTCTGATTATCATTTACTGTACTGCATGCCTACTTCATAGTCGTACCTGCACAAATTACTGGCAAATAAGTAGTTTTTTTTTAACATATTGTTGATCACATAGTATATATTCAATAAACTTTTCTTAATCTATAGAATAATATGAAAATGGTAGCCTAGTTTGCACATAGTGAAGATAAAAACTTTATTGTCTCTGCTTTCTTCAGGGAAGGAAACTGAAAAAGCCAAGGAACGCTATGACAAAGCCACAATGAAGCTTCATATTTTGCATAATCAGTATGTACTGGCATTGAAAGGGGCACAGCTTCATCAGAATCAGTATTATGACACTACACTTCCTCTGCTCCTGGACTCCTTACAAAAGATGCAAGAAGAAATGATAAAAGCATTGTAAGATAACCTTTCTATTTTTTTGTGTGTGAAATAATTTCAACGTTGCTTATGATCTAATTAAGGTTTTGTATAGAAGTTGTCTGGGCTTACAAGGAGGTTTCAAAAAGTTCATGGAAAAATAGGAATAAAAGATAAGGAGTTTATTCATTAACATTTGGAACCCCTTTACATTGCATAAGCTTTGTTAGTGACCAATCTAATAGCTACTCTAGACCTGCTCTGTTTGGTTCTTCTTGATTTTTATTGCTGGAACACTTTCAGCATGTGCTTAGCTTCTAAATCACTAACAAAACCAAAGAAAAGCGGTTTATTGTGCATGTTTTTTGGTTTGTTTCATGTAGCTGGAAATTTAAACTGAAAAAAAAAAAAAGCTGACAAAAGTTAAGAAGTAATTCTCTGTATCCAAGGGTTGGGTATTTAAATCATAAACCCTGGAGACATGCCAGAACTGGAGGTTTATTTGCCAGCCTTTTGTTGTTTTCTTTCTGTATGAGATTAAACTAAACAGATGACTATTGAAGTTCTACTCTATGCAGAGTGCACTGCCTAGTGAACTGGGATATAGACGAACACCCTTTGCTCTCAAGACACCAACTACCTAGCTGAAGACTGTCAATGCAAACACATTATGTTTTGCATCCATACAGGTTAAGATGAGAACAAAGAAGGCCAGCCTTTGGCAGGCTTCATCTGTTTTATTAGCTGATTTTAAAGTTCTTTTAAATGGTTAGATTCAAGTTTTTTCACTGTAAACAAAATTCTGGGAGGCTATTTAGTGTTAGAATTACTGCAGGCAAGAAGTAGAAATAGGGAAGAGGGAAAAGAAATGGGGTAGGAATGAAAAGTTAGAGAAGAAGAAAGATGTGATTCTTGCAGGTAGGTATAAAGTTTACAAATAAGTAGTGGACTATGAAAGGAAACCAGGGGCAGTCAAAGGCAGACTCTTACAATCTAGTTACTTTATCTGTATTTGTATGCAATTAGCAACGAGCTCCTAGATTTAATATTTTGTGAAAGATTGGCAGTATATTAAAATGAGGGATGATTGTGAGCATTTTTTCTGGTTATGATTTAAGAGGAAGCCCAAATATTGACTAATACCTAGGCGCTGAAGTTAGTATAAAAAATGACAACTTCGTGCCCGGCTATCAAAAAGTATAGCATCTGGGGTCTTAAAGGCTTGAAGGTAATCAAGCGG